AATTTCTTTTTGGTAATTTTTAAGTGAATTCTTGTAAATTTATGTTATTTGAAATTTTTTTTATGTAATAAATAAGTGCATATATTTGGAGTGCGTGTGTGTTTTAAATGTTGTTAGAGTAATGAAAAATGCAGATCAAGGATTATTTAAAAAATTGAAAAATTTGTTATTATGAAAGTGAAGTAAACTAAGTGTTACTTAGAGTTTAATTGGTTTTAAAATATAATTTTCATTTTTCAAAGAAAATTCAGAAGCCAATCAAACAATTTAGTCGCCAAATATTATACAATGTGTTATAGAAAATTTACATATTTACTATAATATTTACATTTCTACATAATATGTTGGTATTGAATTGTTCCGTTACAAAATAATTTCGTCTTTTGATTACAAATAATAAAAGCAAACTACTTCGTTATGTACCAAATTTAGAATTTTCTATATCAATACAAGCCGTATCGCATTCCAATTTGATGATTTTTGAACAACGCAAAGTGTACCACCCAATTTTCCTGGTGTGTTTTCATCAAATTCTTAAAAATTCATCATATTGCGGAAATCTTAATGAAGTTTAACTTGAAAAATCAGGCTTACATATGTATTTGTTTTGGTACATTAAAGAAAAAAAAAATGTCCACTTTCATATGGAAATACTGTGGTAATCCAAAATGAATTTTTATTGGTACATGGAAGATTTCAAGTAGAATCCAATAGGAAATCCTATCAATTTAGTCAATTAGGTTTTCTTAAATATTTTCTATGTAGAAAGATCGTTTAATAATTTATAAATGTTAAAATGCAAAATTAATATAAACTCATGAGTCTCCAATAACAGGTTCATTTGAATAGCCACTAAATTTTTTTTCAGCTACACTTCCTCTTAGTTCTCACAGCTAAAGTTTTGCTTTGAATTTGAAAATTTTCACTTATAATAGAAATACTTTTGCATATACCATTTATAAAATAACAATTAACTATGTAATACATATAATATAATTATAGAGTGGAGTGCATTATATTGCTGTCATAATCTGTCAAATAAATTGTATTTGCTTAAACCATTTACCACAATATATGCGAATAACAATTTCATTAATTCTTTTGCATAATTTATAATATAATTTTTTCTCATAAAAATTAAATAGATGCAGTTGAATAACCATTAATATTATTCATTTAAATTATTTGCAACTACCATTATATATACATATACAATATATATATATATATATATATATATAAAATTTGAGCTCAATATAAAGTAAACAAAAGAAAAATTGCAACAATTTTAAATAGATCATTGTACCTATATGCCATGTTTAGCTTTGTAATACGCCCAATTAAAATTATAAAATGTTCATTAAGATGCTTAAGTTTTGCATAAATGCGAAGTGCAGAATAAATCATTAAAAATAAAACAAAAGTTTTTTTTTTCGATTTTTTTGCATTGAAAATTTTTTCGGTTTTTTGTTTTTTTTTAAGAAAACTATGATAAGAATTCTTTTGTTTTGTTCAATGTGAACACCATCTAATCCCATGAATTTTTTTTAACAATAATGTAGTTATGAGGTTAGCAAAAAACAAAAAAGTTATAATTTTCACTTTAAGGTAATAGAACTACAAAAAAAAAACTGTAATATATGTGAGGTATTTAGCTAAAAAAAAATTGAATTACTTTATCATAATAAAATTTAATTTTTTATTTTTTTCCTAAAATCAAAAACTAAATGTGTTCACATGAGAAAAATTCCATATTAATTTAAATTTTTCATTATTAAAATTAATATTTTTCGTTTGTTTTCTTTTTGATTCTGCACCATATATGGTAGTAATATTAGCAGCCCACTATTCGTATATTATTATATTATGCTGAACAATGTTATAACAAAATTGTTAACGACATTCAAAGTCGGTTAGTAAAGAAATTAGGTAATTTGTGTGTGATTCGTGCAAAATGAATAAGAGCAGAGAGAGATAGACAGAGAGAGAAAAAAAAAATATATTAAAAAATTATTTTTCTTTTCATCGCAATCGCATCAAGAAAAATTGCACATCAAAGGCGAATAAAATCGTTGTTAATGTCAATCAAAATGCCAGTTTAAGTCAAGTTAAGATGTCACATCATGTATGATAATTTTTTTTTTTTTTCTTTGAGATTTATATATTGAAAATTTTAACACCTCTCTTAATCAAATCAAGTTCTCAGTATAAATTATATTCATCATATGTAAGTGGTATATGATGGTATGGTGTAGAAGTTAAATATTTTGTGATTCTTGCCATGAGAATCGCTGTAAAATGTGGCAAGCGTTTTAATAACGTAAAATAGATTTTAAATTTAAAATTCTAGAAACGAATTTTAGACTATACTTGTGCTTGATTTTTTTTATAAGACAAATTTTTTTTTTTTGCTTTATATTTAATAAAAGATTTTTCATGCCGACGAGCAATTTGGGACGAGCAATTTGGAACGAGTAATTTCGAGTTAGTTAAAGTTAAGAGATACTTTGAATTTTTAAAATTTTATTTTTCGTATGTTTTTAAATATTGTACATTTAACACGTTTTAGGGATAGAAAAACTACGAGAGATAGAGGACAATGTTATATGGGTTAACTTTTAGCTCTTATCGTAACGCATCGAAAAAAACAACAAAAAAAAAAAAACAATAATAACAAAAATTTTCGAGAAATTTCGAGTTTTGTAAAAGAAAAATTTCAAAAACAAAAATTTTGACTTTGATGAACTGTATCTCGAAAACTATGTCTTAAATCGAATTAATTGTAATTGTAAAAATAAAGAACAATCAATCGCCTGTAAAACAAGCCCTCAATTATAACTCTATGTTATATGGTTCCGAAGTTAAAAGCATTTATTTATATGTAGGAAAAGTTCGATACCTATTTTTTTAAACAGACTGTAGTCCGAAAACGAGTGTATTTACACGCACCCCCTTCCACTCATCCCATACAAGTTTTTGCTGGAAATTGATTAAACAATCATCCCTGAAATTATTTGCCACCTTATGTGAAACACTCTGTGCACATATTTGTTATATTTTTTACTCAGAACATGTGGTATAAATATTCAAAGAATCGTTTCGGATTAATTTAGAAACTGAATTTTATGCCTTCTTAGCATTTATTTGAATAATACATATATGTGTACTTGTGTTAAGCAAAGCTAATATCAAATAACCACACCTCTAAACTTGTTTGATTGCTATTTCATACCTTCCTCATATCAAAATTTCACACATTTTTATAATACGCATTGGAATTAATCATGTTTAATTATCGTACAATTAATTAATGCAATTTAGTTAATAAAAATGGTCATAATCACATAAAATTTAATTAAATGTAATTAACAAAATTTAAAAATTAATAAATTTGTTTTTTTTTTTTTAATTATTTCATTTATTCATTCAGAATCTCGCATACTAATAAAATTACAATAGTCCATGATTTGACATAAAAAATTTTTTTTTTCATTCAAAATAAATTTCGTCTTTAAATTAGAATTATGACAGCTATTAAGAATTTTTGGATTTGTTTTTTTTTATAATAATTTTATGAAAATTTTATTTATTGCACATAACGATGATTTTTATTAATTTTTTAACCTTCATTTATGTAGAAAAATAGTTTTGGTTTTTTTCTCTTTATATTTAATGATATTTTTCGCAAAATTTTTAACATTGCATATTATTAGCAGTGAACACAAAATAGCTTCATAATATTCTTATTATATAATTTTATATAAAAGTCGTTAAATTTATATTCGCATATGATATTCATTTTTTATCGTATATTTTGTTATATTTTTTATCGACATTGAAAATTTAGTCATTTGGATATTTAATTTTTATATAATATATACATATGAGTATATACAAGTATGCCAGTGTGTTTTTTGGGTATTAAAAAATAGAGATCGAGGTATTTTTCTTTCTTAACGAAATATATTAATATTTTATTAAAATTAATAATCTAAATAACATTTAATAAAAAAATAATCATTTTATAGACGGAACAACCTAATAGAGTGTTTTGAGCTAGTTAATAAAGAATAAGAAAAGCATATAAAGTCATTTTAGAATATGAGCAAAAACAAAAAACCCCAAGTTCATCAAATTCAATGCAATAACATGTTTGTTTATTGGATAATTTCAATAATTTTAAATACGAATATAATTTTATATATAAATATATATACATTAAAATAATTTATTTTTACATAATCTTAAATAAATTAAAAGGAACATCTAATAAAGTGTGGCTGAGTGTCATCAACTCAATTTCTATAATATTAATTTAAAGTGTCACGTAATGACATTGCAATTTATTTATCAAAATTTTTGATAATTAATATTCACATTTTGAAGTTTATACATGACTATGAGAGAGAACAATTCAATAATTTAAAAAAAATTAATGACTTTACCAAGTTTGATTAGTGCTTCTCTAAACCTTTAATTTTGATTTAATTTTTCTTAGAAATAATAATTTTTCTTAGAAATAAAACGTTGTTTAAACTGATAATATGATATTTATAAAGAAAAGTCTGATAAGGGTTCGCAAATTTATTATTTTATACTATAGAATAACTTTGATATTAAGACTTTCTTTAAAAGTGAGCCTACTTTTCTATTTTTACTAGATTTAAACAACATTTGCCCTAACATAACTCATGCTATTTGATTAGAAATTTTAATTTAATTTTTAAGATTAAATGAAAATTGCCATGCCAGTAATTATTTAATAATTATTAATATTAATCAAAAACTGTCAAATAAAATGTGAAAAAAATCACATTTAAATTTTAAGAACATTAAATTTAAAAAATATTATCCAATGTTCAAACCAAATGTAACTGTCAAATTGCAGGCAAAATTTGACATTAATTATGAGTAATTTCTATATTTTAATGTAGTTATTTTTTTATATTTTAAATAATAATAATAATTGGAAAAAGAAAACAATTTAAAAATAATCTCACCACATCCTTATCCATTTGTATAAAATATTGAAATCTTCCAATATCATTAACAACAATATCTTTAATTTCAAATTGACGTTGGCTACCAATTTTATGATAAGTTTCAGATGCTAATGACACTGTATCATATGACAATGCAATATTTCGTCCAAAATTACTATTTCCACCATTATATTTATCATCGATTATTAATTGTTCATATGTATTTTCAATATTATTATTAATACCATTATTATTACAATTAGGATTAAATGTTTCCAATGATCTATTACTCTGAGATGATGTCCTTTGATGTTGAAATAATTGTTGTTGATTGTTATTATGTTGACGTTGATGTTTAAAATCTTTCAATGCTGATGAATTTGTTATTTCTGTTGGTGAATCATATGGATTTGGTGAATTTGTAATTTTCAATGAATTACGAATGACCGGTGGTGAATAATGTTTTGTTCTACTATTATTTATTTCTTGTGTTGGTAAATGTTTACTATCCTTAGTAATATTACTGTTGTTAGCAGTAAAGTCACCATTATAAGAATTAGAATTTGTAATTGGTGTTTGACGTATTTTATATTGTTTATTTACCATTGCTTTTTTAAAAAACAATATTTTTTACATAAGCGAAAAAGTTTTTGTTGTAAAAATTTTTTTTTATTCTTGTTCTTATTTTCTTAGTTGAATTAAATTTTATTTTTTCAATTTCACTTTTTAAAATTAATTTTTAATGTTTAAATAGTTTTTTTTTAATATGATAGATTTTAAAAAATTTCTTTACCTAAAAAGTGGTTTTCCAGTTCCGCACATTGTATTTTATAGAATGAAAAATATTTTTTTTTAAAGAGTTTTGGTTTCTTCCAACAGTACTTATTAAATTTTTATATTTGACATAATTTTTATATCAGTCATTATGGCGATTCGAAAGTTATTTAAGATTATTCTCATTTAAAGGAAAAGTCGTATAAAAGAAGTTCAAATGACAATGGAAAAACAAAGAATCCAATTATAGGGGAAATTTTGAATAGTTTGGTCAATATAGATCAAAAGACAAAATTTTACGTTTTAAGGATCTGCGTAAATGTATGACACACGTAAGTGTTAAGTGATATGTAAGCAGGATATATAGTATAAATAAATATTTTTTTATTTTATTTCTCACATTTTATTATGGGAAATATTTTTGAGCTGAATAAAAGCTGGCAAGGAAAGGTAATCAATCAAAAAAGAAATTTTTAAAAAATATTAAAACAATCTTTTAATTCGTAAGATCTTCAAAATTTTAAGGAATTTTAAACACTTATCATTTAAAATTCTGAAGATATCTTAAGATCTAAATGCATTATAACTTCGGCATGTTCTTAAAATTTGAAAACCAATTTCAATAAAACCCAAATAACTTCTATCATAACAAAATTTAATTATATTTTTCTATATATTTTAAAAATCAAGTTTCTAACTTAAGTCTTTTGTTTAAATTTCTATACAATTCTGGTGCATTGCAATTGAAATTTTTTTTTCTAAATTACAACCAATTCCAATGAAAAAAACCTCTGAAGCAATATAATTTTCCTCTGTCTCTCTTTCTGTTTTAATGAATTTTAATTTCAAAATTTATATACCGTCGATTACCATTTCGTAATTTAAATCACATTGAAAATAGGGGCCTTAAATCGAATTTTAAATTAAAATTTTTATTTACAACTTTATTTGAATTTTTTGCATTCTTCTTTTATTACTTTTTAAATACTTTAAATCCATTTAATTTAATTTTAACGCATTCCACAGTTTTACAAAAGTTTATGCACAATAAGGAGCATAAGAGAAGAAAAAAAAACAGAAAACTTACAAAATAAAAAACCGATCGATTTTTTATTCTGTCTTTTTAGTATTTTTTTTTTATTTCAATTATTTTTTTATTTTATTTTTGTATTTTTAGTGTTGTTTTATTTTTAATATCCAAATATTCACTTTTATAATATTGAACAGAAAAAAAAAATAATATTGTTACACGGACTAAAACATAAAAACGAAGAGATAAAAAAAACTAAACCGACCAGTCAGCCAGACTGTAAATTAAAGACTGCCCGATTAGTTGGTAAATACTAAACAATTTACAGTTAAACAAAAAGAAAAGAAAAATCAGAAAAAGAAGAAACAAAAAAAAAAGTGGTATACAAGAATTTTACATGTAGCGTGCACATGAAAAATGCAAAATGCAAGCTTAAATTAAAAACACAATGAACTCAATAAAAAAAGCAACCCACAACGAACAACAAAATCTATAGTGTGAGAAAAAATAAAAGCTTAATTTAGAAAAATTCAAAAAGAAGAAAACCAAAACAACAAAAACAAATTTAAGAAATACCATGTTAAGCATAGAAAATAAAATTAAAAAAAAATAACACCATAATGTAAACAGAGAAGTTTAAGAAAAAAAAAACAAAATACCGACAAAAAAAGCTTTACATTGTTAGTATACCGAAGATACCATCAAACAAGCAGAGAGAAAATTACTTTGAAGTGTTTATTACCTATACCTACCTAAATATGATAGAAGTTTAAAAACAATAACAAAAACAAGAAAAAATAAACATAAAAAGTCTCAATTACACAACCTTAAGCTCAACTCAAATCCTAAGTCAATATTGTAAGTAATAAATTCTTAGTGTTTATTTTATTCTCCAAATTTTTCATAAAATCTCTCTCTATCTCTCTTCCAATTAGCTTTATTGAAAATTCTCATTTTTATTTAAGAGAGTATTTTGCATGAGTTGGTTAAAATATATGGAAAAAATTTAAAGTCTTAAGGTGACGTTCGATTTTTTTATGCTCTTTCTTTTAAATTAATATTTTGTATATATGACTAAATAATTTCAACATAACAAATTTTATTTTAAAGTTTCCACCTGTGATTTGTAATTAACTAATAAAGTTAAGGTGTACGCTATGGTGTATAATTTTTTTTAAAGTTATTTATGGATACTTTTGCTTTTTATTCTCAACCAAATCTAATAATTGCGGCAAATTGTCATTGTAAGTCGAGTTATTCTTAGGGTCTGGTCGTCTTTCTTACTATTTAACTCGGAAAATGAGAAGAAAATGACTAACTACCATATATTTGTATAATGTAATCTTATTGGAAAAGTGAAATATCCATTAGAAAATTCTGAGAATTCTGATTTGAAAGTGAATAAAAAGTGAGTAAAGAAGCAAGATAGACGATCAAACAACACAAGTGTGAATAAATTTTCAAAATTTTAAAAAATATTTTTTATATTTTATTATATTTTAATTATGAAAAATTATATTAATTAAATGATTTTTGTATTAAATTTTTAATCCGGTCCAAATTACTTGATTCGGGAAGAATTTTTCAATGTAATTGTACCAAATAATCATTGTTTTTAATAAGCACAATTTAATGGATCCCAACCAAATTTTTTTTCGATTTTTCAAATTTAAATTATTAAATTGAACCACTTATATATCTGTACACTTAAACAATTTTCAATGATTTAAATTAAAAAAAAAAAAATCTAAATTAATTTAACACTTAATTTTTTTTTTATATAATAATTATTCCTCTTAAATATACTGGTTTCAATTATCTATTTAAATATACACACATATTCCATACATAATGAAAATATTTGAATTATAAATGAATTGTTGAAAGACCATGACTTCCAGCAGTTCTTCAAAATAAACAAAAAAAAAATAATTAAGTGTGAAATTTAATCTAAATTTAATTAAAAATTTTCAACTTAGAAATAGTTTCAATGTCACCTCAATTCTTAAATTATTAAAACACATCATTACAGAATCATCGAAATTATATGAAAAAAAAAACAACAACAGCAACAGAAAACAGCATTTAATCAATTGTACACTTAAGAAGTGATCAAATTCACAATTTTTTTATTTTGTTTTTGCCACAAAAATCAGATATAATCAAATAGAACCCGCATTAAATTGCACCATGTTTCAAATTTCAATAAATTTTACACATTTGCAAAAAAAAAAAATACAAAAAACCACTAAGCGCAATATAGAAATAAAAGAGGTTTTCATTTTAACACTGAACCCAGCTCAAGGTGGTTTACTACCTTTTCTGAGTATTCAATTAATTGTACGTATATATGCCAATGCGGTAATTGTGAATTAAAGATAATCAACAAATAGTTAATAAATTTTTACTAACTATATGTAAACTACATAATAATATTATTACGATCATAGATTGATCTATTACAATTTACTGTATATGTATTTGCAGCTTAGAAGAGCAAAAAAGAAAAAAAATTAATGATAAATGGGAAAAGAAGCTTATAAGATGATCTGTTTTGTATATAACCTTGATCTAACAAAACATAATTGCAAATATATTATGATAACTATCTTTTATTAACCAGCATTTTAAATAAAAAAAAAAATTTATTACTTTTAATATTGAAATAATTTTGTTTTGGTTATTTTCTTATGTTTTCTTGTTATTTTCTTATGTTTCTTATTTTTGTTGTTATTGTTATTTCCAATCAAACTAGTGCAATCAGTCAAATTGTTTTAAATAGAAAAAAAAAAGATTTCTGTAAAATATAAATCAAGTTTTTATAATTTGTATGTTTTCCCGATTATATAGAAAAAAAAACGTTCTGATTAATCGTAATAAAAAACATTTCCATATTTCGTCAGCACCCAAGCCGACCGTATTGCTAAAGTATTTAATAAGAATACGAAAATGTTCTCTAAACACTTACTTCAAGTTCTATTGAAAATATTATATGTGAATTGATCCAGAAATACTAATAATGAAGTACAACAAATTCTGTGAATAAGTAGATATTGTAACTAATGTTGGACCGGCCCCTAGAGGAAGTACTGTATCCAAGCCCTAATATTCACGTAAAATATTAATACATTCACGTATGTAAAATTTTAGGAAAATCCGCTGATTATTTTCTTATAAAAATAGTCAACATTGTCTGTAGCAAAGTTTTAATCCTTCAAGCCCGTCCCCGATTTAAACAATTAAACTAAATATATAAAATATGTATTATATTTTTATGAAAATCAGTCCAGACGAAATTAAGATACCCGACTGCATCAGACAGACATTTCGCAAAAAATTGTTTGTTTACATTTCGCTATTATGGAAAAGTGCATTTCCTTCGAAAACGCGACATGCGAAATTTTTTGCTATAACATATTGCCAAAATATATTGTACTAATATTCAAAATTGGCTCCAATCTAAAATCGTTATTTTATTGAAATTATTAACCATCATTCGCATTAACGCTTAATTTTTTTTTTCTTCTAACTCGTATTAACGCTCAACGTATAAGACTCCTCAACGAAATAATTGATAACAAGAGCTGTAGACATTTACTCCGAAAGGTAGCAATAATTTGAATTACAAAATGCCAATAACTTTTAAGTGGAATACAGATATTTTGGTATTCGTATACGTATTTTAATTATTTATTATTAATAATTTTTTTAAGCTCATATTTAGTTCTAATTCTCTTAAAATAATCCCAAAGAAGTTGATTCTCGAAGTTTGACAAGGCGCCGTCTCGTGCAAATGTTTGAAATCAAATGCTATCATACATGTTTGATCTACAACGAAAATGGCGAATGTTTTAGATTATAGAAAATTTTAAGAGTAAAGCATAAATAATATGCAAAATATTTTTTAATTTCTGAATTATGAACGGGAAAATAACAAAGCATCAATAATTTTAAACTACTTATTTTAAAGTATTTCATAAATAATAAAAAAAAAAATTGTATAAAAATTTTTTTCTTTGCATTTTAT